ATTTATAAACGTCTTTATGCAAAACTAATATGCAAGTAAAGAATAAATTGCAAATAACAACCAGTGATCCTGATCACTTGTTTTCCTACACTGACTGTGAACTCTGAATGCCTCACCGGAAGTGGTTTAATTTGGGGGCGAGGATTCAAGAAGGATGTTGTTTTTAGCTTCAGCTATGGATGAGTAAACACTGTCCTCCTCATATTTGGAAGTTTTAAAGGTAGCCAACAGTAGTTATAACACATAGAAATTATGTCCAAACATCTTCTTTCAGCTGCGCGCCGTCATGATTATTTTATTCGATTTTTAAAAGCAGTAGTAGTAACTACATAGCGAAAATGCTAACTTGAAATTTAGCCTAACTTCTAACCTACCTAAGTAACTGATCCTGAGGAAAACAAAATAATCAAAAGACACGACTTGTATCAGTAGTTTATCATTCCTGCAGTCGGGTGGTCTTTTGGTCTAAATATTAAGTTAATACGGAGTGTGTTTGCACAAAAGAGCTAGTTGAGAAGCTAAGCTAGCTATAACTGTCAAAAGGAGGTACACTTGTCAAAAGTCCAACGAGCTTCCGCAAGTTACGCCAATTAACTTCTTAGTCTCTGCTACGTGAATTACAATAATACGCTGAAAGTTACTTTCAAGCCTGTTTATTTATCCCCACTGGAATACTGGAGTACTATTTATTGGTATATGTGATCTTTGTATTGCCGTTTTATTTTTGATGTTTTATTTTATACATTTTTAYAGCACTTGGGTCAGCTGCGATGTTGTTTTTAAGTGCTTTAGAAATAAAGTGGTATGTTATGGTATGGTAATGGAATATGTTATTGAACTGCTCTTCCAAGTAGGGTAATTGTTAGCAAGATAAACTAATGAATATATAATTTTGATATGTCTTACTTAACTTGTAATTGTCTGCAAGTGTTCCTCTTTGTGACACTGCACACGGCAATGAATTAGACAATTTTGTGTCAATTAAAAATAGCTAAATTACTTAAACTAATAATGTCAATCACATCACTGTCCTTTTCATATAAAATTTTTATCATAACAACAGGAGTGGTCAGTCTTACTGTTTAATGTTTATTTTGGATTTGGTTTCACCTTGATTCAGTGACTGGGATGGAGCATGATCTTATTAAAACAAGCATAACATTTTTTCCCCTTTTTTAAAGTAGTTTAAAATGTAAAAAAACGAATATAGGTCAGTCTTAAACAGTAGTGTCCAGTCCTGGTCTTCGAACTATCATGCATGTTTGAGTTGTTTCCCTGCTCTTCACCATGAATTCAAGAAATGCAAAAGCAAGTCAATCTCTTATTAATTCAAACCAGGTGTGTCAAAGCAAAGAAACATTTAAAACATGCAGGATATTGACCCTCAAGGACCAGGGTTGGACACCTCTGATCTAGCAAAATGTCATCTCTGGACCTTGTATGTGTTACTGGACAACTAAACTTGTTATCAAGGGTTAATTACAAATTAAAGCGGTAATAAACTTTGTTGCTTCAACTGATAAATGTTTTATGATACTAAAACATTATGTAATTACAAAACCCTTTCCCTGAACTTTTTTTTTATTCTGAAATGATTAGAATAAATATGTTTTTGTTTGTTTGTTTAGTTCAGCTTTTTCTTGTCCACTTAATAATAGACCTTCCTTTTGGAGGTTGTGTGTGTCATATTTCCAAGCCCAGACATGTCTCTGATGCCGTAATGGTTGTTTCCTGTGGCAGCAGAGTTGCTCTATCAGCTCACTGTAATCAGATCAGAGCCCAGGTTGAACTCTGCCCATGTGGTAGGGGATACTGAAGCAGTGGTTAAACAGATAGAGTGTGTGATTTGCTCTAAAAAGTCAGAGTTGCTGAAATCCCAGCTTCCATCATAGAAACACTGGTATCATCCTGTTTGTTGTCATTACACAACACAGTAGAGGCATGCAGATTAAAGTGCAGCAATGTATGATTTATATATGTATGTATATATTATACTTTGCTTTAATTCCTTTCCTTCACCTTAAATTCTCTCTGTGGACAGGGATGGGCTGAGATTGACCTCCATTCAAAATGTCAACGAACAGAAAGTGTATTCTTTGTGAAACCTTCTGCATTTCCAAGCAGGTAATTACCCAATAGGTGTTATTTACTCTATAAATATGTAAATACAAATAAATTTCTTATATTCAGGACCTCTGATTTTGCAAGAAGTTGACATAAACAGCTTGTAAACCGAACAAAAAGTATGTTTATTCAACAATCTACTGTAATATTATATACATTTTTTTACTTACTTTAAACATGTTTTGTGTGCATCAGTAATTTGTGTTAGACTACTGGAAGAAAGTATAAAACTTTATGATTAATAAGGTGTTATCACTTTTTATAACAAAACGTTACATTAACAATTATCTCTTCTGATGTGCAGGAGATGGAGGAGCACTTAAGAAGTATGCTTCACCACCGTGAGCTGGAGAAGCTGAAAGGCCGGTGAGTTTTCCTCAAAACATAAATCTACTTCAGTGTTACAGGTGTCATTTTATGGCATAAAATTTCATATCATAAATGTGCATAAAGGCTTGGCTTGATTTGGTCTGTTTGAAATTGAAAAAATCTTGTTGAAAGCCATAATTAAAATGAGTTATTTTTATCCTATTGAAAAATAGTTTTTTCCAGTAATTGCTTGTAATGCAACAAGGGGTTTTACAACCCAATAATAATGTTCATACAAAAAGTTTGAGTATCTCCTAAGAGTTTGTCTAAGTCTATTTGGTCCCAAGCATGTGAGCACACATGCATGTGTCCGCAGATATGGTGCAAGTGGATAGATATGCAGCTGTCTCAACTGCAGCTTATATATTTAGAAACARCCTCTCCAAAACAACAGGCGTGGCCGTTTGAAGGCTAATGACTCGCCTGTGACTCCCGTATAGATTACTGAATGTAGGCTGTTGCTTAAAGTATTCAGGTCAGGATTGCTGTTAAGATACTAGGATTTTGTACAATAAAAATACAATTCAAATGCTGTGTCTTTTACAGTCAGGACTAGTTCTGGTAATCTGAATGAAAGCTGTGTACAGTGAGTGTTAAAATATAGTTTCCATGCTCTTTGTTTAAAACTCTGGCATGAAAGGTGGTGGTCAATATTCTTTCCTTCAAGGAATGGTAGACCTTTCATTTTATCTGTAATTATATACAAAATATATTATTCTCCCAACAAATACATCAGAGAAGTGTGTCAGAAATGAGTAMGTGTGACTCTGTGATGCTTGCCAACTGCACGGGAGGTCATTAAACGGTGGCGTGCCATGACACAGATTTGGAAAAGAAACTGAGAAGGAGCCAGGGAAGCTGCTAACCTTACAGAGTCACGGGACTGAATTCATTGGAAAGGTTTGACAGGTTTGCCTAGGCCTGTTTTGTCCAAAAGCACGTGAGCACACATTCTTGTGTTCGCAGATATGGGGCAAGTGGATAAAMGTGCAGCTGTCTCAACTGCAGCCTTTATATTTAGACAAACAACCTCTCTGAAACAACAGGCGTGACCATTTGAAGGCTAATAGTTCGCCTGTAGACTGTTGCTGAAATGCAAGAACCTAAAATACTGTATTCAAGATCTGGATTGTTGTATAAACGTATGCAAAAACAGCATATTTTAGAGATGAATAAAAAGTGTTTAAAAAACGTTTTGGAATGTACACTGCAAAAACTGTCCTTCCTACCAAGTTTGAAAATCTTATATCCAGCCAAAAAAGTCTTTTTGATCTTGTTTTGAGACTGATTTACTAAGCAAGAACTGATTGTGTAAGAATAATAATCATGTTTTCAGAATATGTAAGATTATTTGTCTTGTCTGAAATTTTGACTCAAATTAAGTCTAAATGTTCTGTCAATGGAGGAAGAAAATTTTACTTGATAAGATTCTTGAAATAAGAAAAAATTGAGTCAAATCAAGTATTTTAAGAATCTTACTAAGTAAAAATTTCTTACTCCATTGGCAGAAATCTTTGACTTAATTTGAGTCAAATTTTCAGGCTAACAAGACAAATCTTACACATTCTGAAAACAAGATTATTATTCTTACACAAGAATAATTTTGTAAATCAGTCTCAAAACAAGATCAAAAAGACTTTTTGGCTGGATATAAGATTTTAAACCTTGGTTAGGTGGATATTTTTTGCAGTGTTTCAGTCAAGGGTAGGAGATTTTATTCTGCAATCAGACAAGTTTTAATGAAACACGCAGAAAGTAATCACGTCTCATCTAGATCTGATTTAGTTTTGGAGTCAACCCAGTTTAAGATGGAAGCCACGTCTAATTGTAAGCAGCTGCACTCCRCTTTGGTTTCACAGGCTTATCATAGGGTAGGTCGTCAGGATCTGGAGGCCTGTTCTAATAACACATGCTGTCCGGGGGCGGGGACTAGGTTCCGGCTGTCGGAACACAGAGATAGGTCAAATACAGACATTGCTTTCTGCAGAGCRTCAGAGCGCAGCGGACACCATCATGAAGGCGAACTAAGCCGAGGGCGCTGGCCACTCTTCCCTCCACGCGTCCCAGCGCTGTGCTGCGTGGCTGGACCTGAACGGCTAGATTAGTCTGCTGCCAGGGTCCAGCTGGGCTCCTGTCCTCGCYCTGCTGCTTATGGTCTGCTGAGGAAAAAAACACAAGAAAGATCAGGACGCTATAAATTTTACTTTTTTTTTTTTGAACAAGGAAAAAATTTTAAGTTAGCTACCTCCTGATCTGTGACAGATAGACAATTTGGATTTGTTTTGAGGATTGTTGAGTATTCTCCTTTCCTGAATTTTCTCAACTTTTAAGAGAAAGTAGAACCAGCGTGCGTCTTTGCGGACTCGTCAGGCAGGAAAACCCAACCAGACGAGATCAGAGCCATGCCAGAGGGAACAATCGAACAACCGCTCTCGCCCTCTCTCCCCAGGGACTGCGGACACGAGTGCAGAGTGTGYAAGGTGAAGGTTGGAAGTCTGACTGATTATGCCAGCCACATCTCCAGCCCCACGCACAAACGGAATGTGGAGGCTGCTGACAAGCAACAAGCTGGGAACAACTACGACGAAAACTACTTTGACCAGGCTATGGTGGACCTGATAGAAAAGAGAAACGAACAGAAAAGGTGAGTCCTTTTTTTCTAATGTTTTAGATCATTAGCTGGTAGCATAAGAAAAAGTGAATGCGTTTTTTTATCTTTAATAGAAAGTTTAGTTTCAGTCCAAAGTATTATATGGTACAATATTCATTTTATTGAATAATAATAAACATGTTTTAAATGTTTAGTTGCTCAACTTAAATGTATAATTGAGGGCATCCAAACTGTTTGTTTCTGTRTATGCCATGTATAGTCATATTTTGCTCAGCGGCGCTCACAGGCTCTTTTTTAGTCGCAGCTTCATACTGACTTGTAGCTGGAGTCATATGTCGGGGCTGAGGGCTAAAAAAAAAGCATGACCACAAATAAAGAATTCCAGCAGATGCGGGCTTAAATTAACCCCTTCTTCAAGTGATTGCCAGTCAAACAGCCAGGTTGCTGGGTTTTATGAATTAATGTTTTAGGGATTGTAAAATATCAGCAATGAGCTCTACACTGTTTGTTCCTTTTTKTTTGTAGAAAAGAGAAGGAGGCGGCGGCTGCAAAGCTGGCCAAAGAAGCAGAGGAACGAAGGAAGAAAGAAGAATATGAGCAAAGACTAAAGGAAGTTAGGGAGCGGAACCTGAAAAATGGGTTGCAACCACTTATGCAGGGCTTCAGAGGTTCAAGTCAGCACAGGTTTTGGCACAGGGGCAATTACTCTAATGTCAGCACAGACGAGGCAAGACCGTGGCAACATGACAAACTGGGGAAGAGTGCCACTTGGCATGCTCAGGAGCCCCCTAACTTACAAAGGTGGGCATCCAATGAGTTTATGGGAGGAAGAAGTAATAGCCAAGTAGGTAACAACACTTGGGGCTGTGGTTCATATTATGGCAATCGGCAAAGCCGACAGCCTTGGCTCAGCAGTGAAGGTAGCAGTCATGGGCTCTATGGTCAAAACAATATTGCCAGCAATGCCCCAAGAGCTCATTACAAGAGCTTCCTAGGACCTCCTGTCTTTCAAACACAATCCAGATATTGCGCCCCRGTTTTCAACCGGTTTCAAGATACAGGGAACAATAGAGAGAGTCAGCAGGAAGCTGGGCTTCAGACTGAGGTGGCAGAAACAGACCCTAAAGGTAGTAAGAATTCTAAGACTTTTGGTAGCAATCCAAAGCTAGACAAAGGCTGTCGCTGGACGCCCTATTCAGTCACCTCTGGACCACACAGTGATATCCATCCAAACATATCAGAGAAGCACCAAACAGCTTCTAARCAGCAAAAGCATGATGTCGTTAGCTGTCGCAGGAACTCCCAACCTGAGCATGAACAGAAACACTTGATCTCAAGTCGACAAGGTGAGGAAGACACGATGAAGCAGCAAACAAAGACAAAATCAGATCTCAGTCATAGGAGAGGAAAAGGTTCGGAGACAGGCGGGAGCCGAACACCTGTCTCTTCCAGTCAAAAGGCAAACAAGACATTGATTCATTCTGTTTCTGGTGCAAGAGGTGGAGCTCAGTCCAACAAGGCCTCCAGTGAAGATCTAYCGCAGTCGAAACCAACTGGAAAGCAAAGTGGGCTCAAAGAACCTGTGAGGTCTCTTCAGTCAAAGCAGGAGAAGCCCCTGCCAGAATCACTGAACACAGCCAAACAGGTTGTTTCTGAAAAGAGAGGCTCTGTGAGTCAGTCAGTTCACAGCAGGTGGAAGGCGAAGCATCACGCAGAGGAGCAGCAAAAGGAGCAGGGGCACGAACAAACTGAAGCAAACAGTGAAAAAAGCTGTTGTCTCAGTTCATTAAAAGCGTCATCACCTGTTGCTGACAGGCAGGAAAAGCTTGCACCGCCGTCTGCAGAGAGCAGCAAACTTGTCCAAGCGCTGCACGTTAGCACCTCCGAGTCTGCAGAGTCAGTTGGGAATCCTCAAGATAATCAAAACATCGTGGAGAAACAATCCTGCTCGGTGGTTCCAGATGAGGCCATGCAGGTCGCCGAGGCAGGGCAGAGCTCAGAGAGCCACGCCGCTCAAAGCAGTGACGTGAACACAGCCTCAGGGACGAACGCTTCGGCCTTATCCAAACTTGACCTTCCCCCTGTCCTAAAGCGTGACCTCACCAAACACATAAGCTCCAAGAGCAAAGCAGCCAGCCATGAGCCCAACCTCAACATCGCCAGACGGGTGCACAATCTAGGTGAGTTGCGCAGAAGTGACACCGAAAAGGATTCCGGCCTCAAACCAACAGTCCGGCAGCTCATTAGCTCATCTGGGTCGCGCCGCAATGTGAACTGGGAGCAGGTGTATCAGGAAGTTAAAAAGAAGCAAGACAAGGGAAAAGGCATGCCAAGGTGAGATCTTGTTTGCTGTTGAATATCTTCAGCTGCGCTCGTTTGGTTTCTAAAGCCTTCACTTTGTCTGCTCTTCTCCAGGTTTGGTATAGAGATGGTGCCWTGTGAGCAGACGAGCCACAGCCAAGAGGAAGATGAAATCCCCCTCCTCGAGGGTTTTCACTGGGATTCTCTGATGGACGTCTCAGCGCAGGGCACCTCCCGAAAACGCTCCCTGTCAGAGAGTAGCTTTGCACCGGGCTCGACTCATTCCCTGTTTGCATCTTTCGCTTCGGAGGATTCGGCCCAGAGAGAACCTCTCGGTTCAGAGCAGCTGAGACCCACAGGTTCTCCAAGACCTGTATCTGCTCCAGAGAAAGCAGACCACCACAGTCAGCCAGAGAGCAAAGTGYCGATGCATCCAGACAAACTAACATCTACAGCTGTGACAGTTCTCCAGCGGTCGGACTCAGCGCTCTGCGACAGCAGCTCAGGAGCGGAGCAGAACGACGGTCAGGGAACAGGAAAGAGGCGAAGGGCAGTCAGGGTGGGTTTGAGAAACAAGTTCTTGCTTTTTACTGTACGGTTTTTAAATTATTAAGCAAAATGTGCAATCATTATTCTTATCTTTATGTTTTAGGATGTCCCCACTGTGGAAACATCAGGTCTGGAGCACAACAGCAAAAGAAGGAAGCTCAAATCTAAAAAAGGTTTGTGGTTCAGATCCAGAAGATGAATAGATTCAAACACTGTGTTCACTGTCGCTGATGTCTCAAATGATCTTTTTTCTGTGGTTTCAGAGCGTTTACAGATTGACCAGCTGCTCATAGTGTCCCTGAGGGAGGAGGAGCTGAGCCGGTCGTTGCAGGATGTTGACACCAGCTTGGTCCAGGCCCGGGCGGTACTGGAGGCCGCCTGCGTGAAGGTGCAGCAACTGATGGTGCTGAAACAGCAGGTACATCATCAAACATACCATTGACAGTCTTCTTTTTCTTTATTATTATCCCAATCTTTAAATCATCTGAAATATTGTAGTGTCACAATGTTTAAATTCAAACAAGTTCGTACATATCTTTGCTTTTCTTCAGATTACTGTGGAGATGAGCACACTGAGAAACCAACGAATTGAGTTRCTTAAAGGAATGCAAGGTAAAAACACATTCTTTGAATTTTTTAAGAAACTTTACTGTAATTTTGTAAGTTATAGCTTCTAAACTCCATAGTAACACTCTAACAAATTAGGGATGGGAAATCGTCCCTATTTTCAGATCATAAATCATGGGTCACTGGCTATCGCCGATAGACGATCCAATCCGCTGATAAGGCACGCGCAGTTACGTTATTAAAAAAAAAACACGCAAACTGGTCTGCTTATTATAAGCGACGGCTTCTTTTTTTCTAAAGTCGCTTGTAAATTCTGTGGTTATTYGGCGTTCGTGTTCCTTTCATAGTTCCTGAGATCCCCGCGCCGAGCTCCTGGGAACCCCCCCTCCCCGCTGCTGAGTACGTCACTACAGGGGATTTCTGCCCCGAGGGAGTCCAATGCAGAAAAAAAAAGTMCGACACTTCGTCACTCGACGTTGTTTATCCACAAACTGGTCCAGGATTAAGCTCAAATGTTTTTTATCAGTCAGATTTCACCGTGAAAATAATCTATTTTATCCCCTTTTATGAGGTTTTGGCCGTTTGACTATCTTTATAAATCGCTGCTTCCTGGTAGGTAGTCGGCGTTCGAACGAGTCACTTTTTTCTCTGTCCTTTTTTTTAAGCGAGTGGTTGAAGCAAACGCAGCGTCTGAGCAATTTTAGCACAAACAAACACTCCCACAATCTTGTGACCAATCACACCATATAGTTTGCATGTGTTCTTATGTGGAGGGGTGTGAAAAGTTCGACCCGCACGGCCGCACACACACCAGAGCCCAGAGTGACGGGGATGAGCAGGGGTGAGGGAGTGCGCTTCGGTCCGGTTCGGAACTGGTTAAAGTTATTTGTTCAAATGTATGCTTGTCATGGATTATTCGTTTTGTAACTAAACGTTATAATATAGCACTATTTGGGTTATTTGTGGCGCACCAAAGCAAGAACATGACGAGAAGAGAGACATGAAGAGGAGCTGCGCACGTTAGCTCAGACTCTGAGGAAAAAAAAAAAAAAAAGAGATGCAGCACTGTTATTTTATTCCCTCATTTGCACAGATCACAATGATGAYGATTAAAACATTTTAATTTACAGAGAAGGGCGCATTTAAAAATTTTTTTACATCCCTGGCACAGCATTTAATTAATTAATAAAGATCGTCCTTAAAAAAAACAACAAATCGCATTCCAACCCTTCAATTGCCGATAGACGATTGAATCATAAATCACGCCATCCCTTTAACAAATAAGGTAAAAATTACAGGAGTCCCGATACCAAGTACAAGTACTTCAGTTTAGGTACTCGCCGATAGCGAGTACTTACTGTATTAGAACTTAAACATTACACAATGACTTCAAAAACATTTATTTTATTTAGAACAAGGTGGCTTCACTTCCTTATGACTGGATCGAATCAAACATATAAATATATATTTATATATAAACTGTTGCAACATTATTTCAACTTAATTTTCTTAAAAATGGAACTGACAAACTTTTCACTTGAAATATAAACTGCAACACATTGAATGGAGTATTGATACCAGTATCTATAACAGTATTGGTATTGGTTCTGGGTATTGGGGCACTTTGTACGAGTGTGAGAACTTGTAAACATGCTGGTATCTGTATCAGTACTAGTATTGATATTGGGACACCACTTGTTAAAACATAAATATTGTTTGTACTAAACTGAGGTTGTTTTTGTTCATTTTTAGGTATAAGTAAGGAAGCACTTCAGGTCAAGGTGAAAGARGAAAAGATGGATTCATATGAAGCTGAGGCATCAGTCATGCCCTCCTCTGCTTTGAACACTGCTATTTACAGTCCTAAACATGCTGCAGAATGTGCTTCTCCTTCCTCGTCCAGCCTTCCTTTCTCTGTAGTTATTAAGGAGGAGCCCAAGTCCCCAGTCTACATCAGCTCAGAGGTGGGCACTGGCCACAGTCTGACCCTCAGCACAGCTCCAGAGCTGCCAGTCGCTCCTGCCACAGCTTCACCAGGTACCATCCCTCAGTTTGAAATGGATCAATGTCATAGTCCTGATTTTACCAGACAACTACAGCAACATCTTTAATTATTGTACTGCTCTCTGGTTATTGCATCACATATCCTGTCTACTCTTTTTCCAGAATTTCTTGCATTCTAAATTTAGTGTTTTAAATCTCAAAGTTTCCAGTTTTCCTTCAATCCATAAATGTAGCCTTTTTTAATGTTCCACGATAAGGTTTATCCATTTCTGTTGGAAACTTTTTTGCAGATCCTGTCTGTAACCTCCAGCCATCCCCTGAAAGAAAGCCTTTCCAAACTACCTGTGTTGAACCGGCAGAGCTCGAAGAGCAGCTTCCTGCACCAGGTGAGAYGGAAGAGAAGCCTGCTGAAACACTGAGTAATTACAGCAGCTCTCTGCCTGACTCCAGAGGCTCCGTAAAACCTCCCGGCAGAAGAGCTCCTGAGGTTGAGAGAGTTGTTGACTGTGCAGACAACCGGTCGGCATCATCCCCTACAGTCTGTAACATGCCCGCCTCGCCATCGGATCTGAGGAACGGGAAGCGGGTGAGGAAGCTGAAGAAGAAGAAGGTGCTGAAAAAGGCTCAAGGGGCAGAACAGCCTGAGTGTAGTGACTCTGAGACAGAGGAAGAGCTCGTGAGGCCAAGGTGGCTGCGACAGCGCAGGAGAACCAGCGCAGCCTCTCAGGTCAGTACCTCCAGCCAGCCCACAGACGACAGAGATGTCAACATGGATCCAGATGGCAACAAGAAGGTTCTCAGTTTAACACTTGAGGAGGAAAAGGAACAAACGTCCACTGGAAAAATAGCACCTCCTACTGATCCTATGGCGGAAACTGATGTGGAGGAAAGCATGGAGGTCACTGCAGCCGATCAGCAGCGTCCAGGGAATACCCTGCTTCCACCTCGCCCTCCAGACCTGGTCCCAGTCTCCTGTAGACCTGAGACACAGAGCCTGACCTGCAACAAGGTCTCCTCCACCAGTGACATGGATCTGTGTAAATCCTCAGAGAGGTGAGGCGTTAAAGAAAGAACATGATTGGCTTAGCATACACAGGTCAAAAGAAACTGAAAAAAACTTCATTAGATAGTTTTGTTAATGTTTGACGAGTTTGTATTTAAAATACATAATATTTGTAGTGATGTAGACTATAAAAATAAACCTTTATTATAAAACACCGACTATGAAATGTGAACACTTTATTTATTTTACTTACTGCACACATGTGGTACTAATATCACCCCTTTTGATTAGATTGAAATGTTTTTAAAGGTTGGAAATAAAGTGAAGAAAACATTTGATAAGTTAAATATTGTAGAAATTTACACTATGTTAAATCAGATCAGAAAATATGCGTTTTCTGTGGAAATGTTTTGTCAGTGCTTGGTGCTTGAACTGGGTTTTAAAGCTAAAAGTAGCAAAAACTAGTTACAAGTTAAAAGTAACAAAAGCATAAAATTTAAAGTTGCAAAATGTTAGCTAAAAGCTGCAAAGGGTGAGCTAAAAGTAAAATTAGCAAGAGGCTAGCTAAAAGTTGTGAAATGGTAGCTAAAAAAAACAAAACAAAAAACAGTATGTTATAGATTTCAAAGAGAACAAATGTTTTTGACAGAACTGAATAGATCTCGCCTTATTCAGAGAAAACATTTTTTTAAAAATTTAATGTTGAGAAAGGTATAAGCACTTAATAACAACCTTTTCCATACTCAATGAGAAGTGAAGGAGTCTGCTGTTGCTGATAGTTGTGAGACGTTCTTTTCATCATGGACATTACTCACTCGACCAGAAACTGCAGCACAGAACTCCTGGGAAGCCCCTCCTCTCCAGGGTCTCTGCTTCTCCTTCCCTGTCCTGACATTCGCTTCCCAACCTGTGACCAGACATTTCTAATTATACAGACTGAGATGGTAAACTCCATTTACCAATTTGTCACGAGGAGAACAACACCGTTTCAGACAGACGTAACCAGCGAGCGTAGAGAACTGCCGAGGCTAGCACAGCTACTGAGGGAGCCGCCTGTGTCTCCTCTGTGTATAAAGAAGGGTGCTACCTCCTGCCATGAGTTGTTTGACTTGTCTTTACCAGATTTTTTTAACCTTTTTTTTTAAGTTTTGCTGGAACAGTTGTAAATGATGGCTGTATTTTTGAACAGCCTTGGCCAGCTGCTCCTCAGGGGTTGAGGTTAAATATGAGCCGTGTAGTTAACCTGCCTTTCCGCATGAACACGCCCACAGCAAAGTCCTGACCAGTCACATAATAGTGCACAGAATGGGTTCTCAGAACTCATTTGAGAACAAAATGACACAATTTTCCTCACCAAACTACGGCAGTTTGAGCAGATTTCTTCACTGTTGCTGAGTGTAAGTGGTTAAACTGCAAATACAAACAGAAAAATAACGCAAACAGAGTAAAACACAAGAAAATTAATCATAACTCAGAGTAGTGGTAATAATGGACGTTCTGCCTTTTTTTTTTCTTTTTTTTTTGCAGTGATTCGCAGTTTGGCACCACATTGCCCAAGAATTCATCAGGTACGTTCACCTCTGGAGCACTTAAAAAATTTTTTATTATTTCTTTTAATAGATGGAGATTTTGTTGCCTTCTTCTTTCTAAATTGTTATTTTAATCAGTCACTCTAGGATTGAAAAGCCATTATTCATATTATACAAACCAACCACATTGTTAAATATGTAATAAATGTTTCAAGACATGAAATTCCTTAAGTAGGTGAACATAATATCAGTTTTCAGACACGTTAATTGATTATATTTTGTGTAAAGCGTTTCTTTTGTGCTGTTTGTGTTTCTCAGGTGTATTTTCAGACCACGATGGGGATGATATTCTGACTGAAGGGGCATTTGAAGGCCACCAAGAGGCGGTGAACGCCATCCAAATACACGACAGGCTGCTGTACACGTGCTCAGGAGATCAGACCGTCAAAGTCTTTGACCTGGTGGTGGGTGACGACAAACAATGTTGCTTCACTTCAGCYGCTTCAGAAATTGTAACTGTTTATTTTTACTTTGTTGCAGAGTCATAAATGTCTGGGTGCGTTTGAGGGCCACAGCTCCAAAGTGACGTGTTTACTGGTGTCAGCAGCTCCAGGCCTGCACCACCGCCTTTACTCTGGTTCCAGTGACCAGACCATTCGCTGCTACAGTCTCAAGGTGAAAAATACACTGCAAGACAAGTTTCTTAACCCCACCAGCTGACATTATGGACTGATGCTCTTTAAAGGGATCTATGATTAGTTGTAACATTAGACTTTATTTAATAAGCATACATTTTAGCTGTAAAATAAAGACAGTAAAAATACTGTAGGCTGTTTAGTTTTTATCATTTTTAAACTAAAAGTTTAAAAATATATTACACGGACGGGGCCATTTTATTTACATGCAAAGCATTCTGGGTACATGATGACATGGATAGGTCCTCGGTGCGAGACTGCTAACGAACTATATCCACCCTGAAGGTTAATCTTGGACAATATCTGAWGATCGACTCTTTTAAATGAAACCAGAGAGCGTTGACAGAGAGGAGAAGGTAGAAATGACTCAGCCTGTAACTGAAAATATAGATGGAGGACAACAGAGCTGCTTCATGGAAGAAGAACCTCAGCTTAGCCTGTTAGCTTTAGCGTTAGCCCCGACGCTATCACCATATATATGTATTAGCTCAGCGCTACACATTCTCCTCTCGTCACTGAGGTCCTCCATCCACATGACAGAGAGGGGAACRCAAAAATTAATCAGATGCAACTGAAAATATGGATGGAGGACCTCAGTTTAGCTTGTCGCGCTAGCGCTGAGCTAATACATATAAGGCAATATAGCGTTGGCGCTAGCGCGAAGGCTAACAGGCTAAGCGGAGGTTCTTCTTCCATGAAGCAGCTCTGTTGTCCTCCATCAGTATTTTCAGTTACAGGCTGAGTCATTTCTACCTTCTCCTCTCTGTCAACGCTCTCTGGTTTCATTTAAAGTGGATATAGCTCAGATATTGACCAAGATTAACCTTCAGAGTGGATATAGCTCACTCACACCAAGGACCTATCCACATCATCATTTACCCAGAATGCTTTGTGTRTAAATAAAATGGCTCCGTCCATGTTAAAATATAGTTTTAAAAATTTACAAATCTAAACAGCCTACAGTATTTTTACAGTCTTCATTTTACAGTTAAAATATATGTTTATCAAATTAAGTCTAATGTTACAACTAATCAGGGATCCCTTGAATGTTGCGTGTTCTCCACAGACACAAGAGTTTGAGCAAAACTTCTCTTTGCCCGACCGGGTCTTCTGCCTTCACAGCCGCTGGAAGACTTTATACGCCGGTCTGGGGAACGGCACGGTTGTGTCGTTTAACCTGAAAGTAAGTTAGTCTTAGGAATTCAGTGAAAACTGCAGTTATTTTTATATTCAAATCCCAGATACGATGACAGCAGACTCCATCGAGCAGCGTGCCTCGCTCTGCCAGCTTGAGTTGATAATCTTTTTTTTTCTCTTCCTTTCCCCCCAAATCATTGTTTAGACAAACAAACAGATGGATGTGTTTGAGTGCCACGGCCCGCGTGGTGTGAGCTGCTTGGCCTCATCACAGGAGGGAGCCCAGAGGATCCTGCTGGTGGGCTCGTACGACAACAGCATCAGCGTGAGGGCAGCCAAGAGCGGACTGCTGCTGCGTACCCTGCAGGGCCACACCAAGAGCGTTCTGTGCATGACGGTAGGCCGGGCCTGACGTCTTGGCTTCAGCCGGGAGACTTCATCTCTGTTAGAGCTGAGTTCAAGGCATCTGAGACAAGCAGAGAGAGGATTTAGAAAATATGTTCGCTGCTGGGACAAAACGTGTCAGCGTCTCAGCAAATGGGCGAAAGCRCAGCCAGAGATCAATATGAACCATTTAATATGCATATTGTGGTTTTGAAGTAGATGCTAGTTTGAGGTGTTTAAAAGAACAAACAAACAAAAATATTGCTTTAAATGYAATTTTAAATCTTCATCGTTTGACTTTTCTGCTTCCCCTCAGGTGGTCAACGATCTTGTGTTCAGTGGATCCAGTGATTATTCCGTCTGTGCTCACAACATCCACGTGAGTCCGTGTTCCACGTGGATTTAGAGCTTTTATAAACATGATTTAATATCAGAGACGTCTTATTTACCTTTGTTTCTTCTCGCTGTGCGTCAGACGGGGGAGCTGGTGCACGTTTATAAGGGTCACAGCCACGCTGTTACTGTGGTGACCATCCTGGGGAAAGTGATGGTGACTGCCTGTCTGGATAAACTGGTCCGAGTCTACGACCTGCAGGTTGGCATTCCCAAACAGGATGCGTCTAAATAACACTTTCTAAAACCAGAGAACCAGGATGTTTTGAATTCTGTTTTGTAATGTTGTGGTTTTGCTGTGCAGTCTCAGAACCAGCTGCAGGTTTACGGTGGACACAAGGACATGGTGTTGTGTATGGCCGTCTACAAGAACATGGTAAGACCTCGGAATCTGGCAGAAATCCTCTACCAGCACTCGACAGAATGTCAGAGGAAAATGTGAATACAGGAATGTGTTTTACTGATGAAATTTAAGGTTGGGCATAATCGTATCGTGTGCAGTTAATTGTCAGAAAAACATCGATTATTTTTTGGCGATTAATTCGATTAATGCCACCAGGCAGACTGACTGGAGGTTTCCTCAGTCAGTCTGCTCGCTGCTCCTCTYCRCTTCAAATATGACGAACATTAAAAGAAAGGTTCTGTAAATTATTTATCTATCAACACAATTTAAAATTTTATGTATGGCCTCAAATCTGTAATTTTGACACAGTTTGGAACAGATTTTTACAAAGAGCGAAATGGTCATGTGACCAGGACATAAGGGTGTCCAGGGACTCCAGTGGATTAATCGTCAAATTAACCGTTAATAAATAAATAAATAAATAAATACCATAATTAATCATGATTTTTTTTGCCAATATTGCCCAACCCTAATGAAATTATGCGTGATAATTTTAATTTCAAACTATTTTAGCTTCAAAGCTAAAACAGTTTATTGAGCATCAACTTTTTTGTTACAGATCTACACAGGATGCTATGATGGGAGCGTGCAAGCAGTCAAGCTGAACCTGATGCAGAACTACCGCTGCTGGGTAAGACRGACATCAGGCTGACCTACATTTAAAAAACCCATTTGACATGATGCGAACCGAGC